AATATACTGACAGCCTATGTTGCCTTCATATTAGGCTTATATAAGGCTTTTAATTTTTTGCGGCTCCAGGCAGGTATGGTTTTTGTTTTTTTGGGCCAATATGGCTCTTTGAACATTTTGGGTTGCCGACCCCTGTTCCACAACAGGTCCTATATTCCACTTGCGAGCTTTAAGCCATGTTATAATGTTGTTAATCTCAAAAACAGACCTGGAGTTGTGTTTTGTTTCATTCACACATGTTTGAGTAACACTTTATTATTGGTCTGTCTACATCTCCAAGCTCCAAGTTAACGGCTTCTTTTTAAAATCTTTCATTCAGAAGAGATTTGCAATTCCAGCTCTGAACATATCCAAATGATTCTAGCGAAGGTGTGTGAAGTTCAAAAACACAGCGGAGCACTTACTGTATCACCAGATGACATCTCAAGGTGGAAGAAGAGAAGAACTCAGCCTAATTATGCAGGGTTTGTGTGTTAAACATGTGAATGAAACAAAACCCGACTCTAAGTATGTTTTTGATGAGGAAGCAACATTACAACACAGATCAGAAAATATTGTAAAATGGACTCTTTAAAGTGATCCAGCTGGTCCGATAGTGATGGAGCTTTTGTTTACTCGTACATTTATAAGCAGTTTGAATACAGATTTCATTCTTGTGGTCGGGAGTCTGTGGCAGCTGTGCAAAATTGGACATATGATAGGCTTTGTGAAAAATTCTAAGCATCACCTCTCGCCAATATAGCCTACTAGTAGTTTTCAACTTCCTTATACCGTATTTTTTGGACTATAAGTTGCACTTTTTTTTCATGGTTTGGGTGTTTCCTGCGACTTATACTTCGGTGCGAGTTATATATTAACATTTTAACACTGACAGCTGCGAGAGGCTCTAGGCTTGTGTGTCAGTATCCGCTACTACTATTACTCCTGTACCACTGTCACTCTACTGTGCATGTCTCCTGCAGAAAGAGCCTCTGTCCTGCAGCAAGTAGTGAAATATTCAGTTGAAAACATTAATCGAGCAGCAGAGTGGAGTGAGCGAGAAACTTGTGAGGGACTGGCTGGAGGACGCGCCATGCAACTTTCCTAGAAGTCACTGGATGGATCGACAAAGCCTAGACTTCAGCGACAACCGAAATTATCCTGTCGGGATTCAGAAAGGCTGAAATAATTCTAATAGGAACTGATGCTGAGTCTGAAGACAGCTATGCAGAAGAGACGCTCTGTTTACCTCCGGAGGTTGCGGAATTGCCATGGATCTATAATAATTACCTCCGCCAAGGAGGTTATGTTTTTGCGGGCGTTTGTCTGTTTGTTTGTCTGTTTGTTTGTTTGTTTGTCTGTTAGCAACATAACTCAAAAAGTTATGGACCGATTTTGATGAAATTTTCAGGATTTGTTGGAAATGTGAAAAGGAAGAACTGATTTCATTTTGGGGGTGATCCGGAAGAAATCCTGGATTCTGGATCACTTTGAAATTTTAGTTAACATTGAGGTAAATGGGGCCAAAAATGTAGTTTCTCAATATCTCGGTTAATTATTGACCAAACCCCATGAAATTTGACTCAGGGATGGACAATGGGATCCTCTTTCATATTCCAAATTGAAAGATACGAGACAAATATTTATGGAACCACAATTAATATGAGTGCTTTTCTAGTTTATTATAGTTCTATGGGAGTTGCTCAGAAGTGACACAGAGGATGAAGAACTCAATGGATTTAGTGATTTGGAGTGAGATGGAGAGTTTGGTAAACTTGTTCTGTTCTGTTGTTTATAGTTTATCTGAAGAACTGTTCATATGTGACGTTAACAGTCTGTTGTTCTCTCTTCTATTGTTATTACTAGAACTTGCCTTTGATGAAATGTCAGTTCCTAGTCTCTCATTTTATAAAGTAAATTTCTCCCAAAAAGTGCAACTTATATGTGTTTTTTTCTTCTTCATTTTTAAATTTTTTTGGCTGGTACGACTTATGCTCCAGAGCAACTTATAGTCTGAAAAATACTGTACCTTTTTTTTCAATAGAGATCAGTAAATCCAGGGCTGAAATCATCCAAATGATTCTACTGATGGTGTATGGAGTTTAAAAATACAGTGGAGCACTTCCTGTATTACCACATGACATCACCAGGTGGAACACAGTGTTTTCTGTTTGAAGGTTTGTGTGCTGAATATATGCAATGAAACAAAACAAAACTCCAGGTCTGTTTTTGATGAGGAAACAACATTTTAACATAGATCAGAAAATAGTGTTTTATGCGCTTTTTTGTATTTATACATAGCAATAACTTTGAATAATTTATATTTATCATTGTGACATATACTACCAGTCAAAAGTTTGGAGACACCACCTCATTTAGTGTTTTTTTTTTCTTTTTCTTTATTATATGGAAGACACCACAGGCCCCACTAACATGGCTCAAAGCTCACAAGAGTTAAATTTGTGTAAAACAGGACCTTTGAGTGACATAACGCACAATACAATGCTTCTCCACAATCATATATTTAAGAAACATTGAAAATATGTATGAAATGTTTTTGCTTTTATAATTCATATCTCCTGAACAGCCAGAGTTGTTAAAACGGGCCTTACAAGTGTTAATTGGAAGTAGCACATGTTGGAATCTTTTTACGGGGTACAATTTCTCCCACTTGGCATTATAAATCTGGCCCTCGTGTCAGCCTAGAGCCGACGCGGTGCAGATGTTGGCACGGCAACAGAAGCGCGCAAATAAACCCGGTGATCGGCCATGTCAGACAGAGCCTCATTAGAAACACACACGAGTTTGTTCGGGGCCACTGTAGATTAGACAACAAATGGGACGTGCATCTTTAACGAGCACATATGACGACATTTTCTGATCTATGTTATAATGTTGTTTTCTCATCGCAAACAGACCTGGAGTTGTGTTTTGTTTCATTCACACATGTTTAACACGCAAACTCTGCATATTAAGCTGTTCCACCTTGTGATGTCACATTCATTTACACAAAGACAAATTGAGAGAAATGTTTTTACAATATAAAAAATTCCATCACATTGTAATACAGGAAGTGTTCTAATGCAGTGGTCCCCAACCTCTTTTGCACCACTGACCAGTTTTCTGTCTGACAATATTTTGCGGACCGGGACTGGAACCGGGTCTGGGAACGGGACTGGGACCGGGACTGGGACCGCTCTTTTCAGGACAATATTTTCGTGGATTGGTAGCGTACGTGAGAAGACACGGCATACGGGAGCAGGTGGGTCCGTACGACATATGGGAGGAGACGCAGCCCATGCAGGTTTAGTCCTGGTTAAATTCTGTTTTAGTCCTGGTTTAGTCCTGATTTTAGACCTGGTTTAGTCCTGGTTAAATTCTGTTTTAGTCCTGGTTTAGTCCTGATTTTAGACCTGGTTTAGTCCTGGTTAAATTCTGTTTTAGTCCTGGTTTAGTCCTGATTTTAGACCTGGTTTAGTCCTGGTTAAATTCTGTTTTAGTCCTGGTTTAGTCCTGATTTTAGACCTGGTTTAGTCCTGGTTAAATTCTGTTTTAGTCCTGGTTTAGTCCTGATTTTAGACCTGGTTTAGTCCCAGTTAAATTCTGTTTTAGCCCTGGTTTAGTCCTGTTTTTACACATGGTTTGGTCCTGGTTAAATTATGTTTTAGTCCTGATTTTAGACCTGGTTTAGTCCTGGTTAAATCCTGTTTTAGTCCTGGTTTAATCCTGTTTTTATACCTGGTTTAGACCTGGTTAAATCCTGTTTTAGTCCTGGTTACCTCCGCCAAGGAGGTTATGTTTTTGCCGGCGTTTGTCTGTTTGTTTGTTTGTTTGTTTGTTTGTTTGTTTGTCTGTTAGCAACATAACTCAAAAAGTTATGGACCGATTTTGATGAAATTTTCAGGATTTCTTGGAAATGTGAAAAGGAAGAACTGATTTCATTTTGGGGGTGATCCGGAAGAAATCCTGGATTCTGGATCACTTTGAAATTTTAGTTAACATTGTAGTAAATGGGGCCAAAAATTTAGTTTCTCAATATCTCGGTTAATTATTGACCAAACCCCATGAAATTTGACTCAGGGATGGACAATGGGATCCTCTTTCATATTCCAAAGGCTGATCCGGATCTGATCCAGAAGACTGATTTTATCGCAATTTATATAAAAAATGGGGGTAGTCCTTGGCGGAGGTCTGCGCTCTCTGAGTGCTTTTCTAGTTAGACCTGGTTTACTCTTGGTTAAATCATGTTTTAGTCCTGGTTTAGTCCTGTTTTTAGACCTGGTTTAGTCTTGGTTAAATTCTGTTTTAGTCCTGGTTTTAGACCTGGTATAGACCTGGTTAAATCAAGTTTTAGTCCTGGTTTAGTCCTGTTTTTAGACCCGGTTTAGTACTGGTTAAATCCTGTTTTAGTCCTGGTTTAGTCCTGTTTTTAGACCTGGTTTAGACCTGGTTAAATCCTGCCTTAGTCCTGGTTTAGACCAGATTTTAGTCCTGGTTCTAGACCTGGTTTTAGTTCTGTTCTAATGTGTTTTTAAACTTTATACATCTTCACTTGAATCATTTGGATAATTTCAGCTCTGGAATTGCCAACTTCTGATGAACTTAATGTAAGAAGAGATGTTAACTTGAAAACTACTGCTTCATGACATCACAAGGTGGATCAGAGCATTTAGATTTTTGAAGGTGTAGACAGACTAATAATAAAGGATTACTCAAACATTTGTGAAAGAAACATAACACAAATCCATGTATGTTTTTGATGAGGAAACAGCATTATAACACGGCTTAAAGCTTAAAGAGTTAAATTTGCGTTATATAGGACCTTTAATGTTATACTGTGGAACATTCCAGGCAAAGCAATAACATCTTCATGGAGACAAGCAAGTGGCAAACGGTCAACCAGGAAAGCTACGTAGTTCACCTTTAATATGGCTGTAACAGAGCATCACATTGCTTTTAACCAAATAAAGCTCTAAAATGTGTCTTTGTTGGGGTTGTTTTTTCCTGGAGTTCAGTCTTACCTTTCTTGGGTGGCGTGCATCTCTTTCTCATCCTGCACCTCTGCGTCTCGGCCTGTAGGGGGCAGAAGGAGGTGGTCTGGTTGTCAGACGTGCCCCGGGTCCTGCTCTGTCTGCCCCATTTGTACCCACACGTTGCCCCCTCGCGCTGGCACACGCTCCACTCACTCCACTCGCCCAGGGGAGCCACAAGGCAGTGGTCTGTTGGGTAAAAAAGAAATATTCAAAATTAAAGATTAGACTTGTGAGATTTAGGACATGTTATGATGTTGTTAACCTCAAAAACATATCTGGATGTTTTGTTTTGTTTCATTTGCACATGTTCAGAGTGAGGGGAGGATGAAGTGTGACATCGACAGGCGATCGGTGCAGTATCGGCAGTGATGCGGTCGCTGTATCGGATCGTTGTGGTGAAGAGGGAGCTGAGCTGAAAGGAAAAGCTCTCGATTTACCGATCAATCTACGTTCCTACTCTCACCTATGGTCATGAGCTCTGGGTAATGACCGAAAAGACATGATCGTAGATACAAGAGGTCAAAATGAGTTTCCTCCGCAGGGTGGCTGGGCGCTCCCTTTGAGACAGGGTGAGGAGCTCAGTCACGTTGGGAGGAGCTCGGAGTAGAGCCGCTGCTCCTCCGCGTCGAGAGGAGCCAGTTGAGGTGGCCTGGGCATCTGGTCCGGATGCCTCCTGGACGCCTCCCTCGAGAGGTGTTCCGGGCATGTCCCACTGGAAGGAAGCCCCGGAAAAGACCCAGGACACGCTGGAGGGACTATGTCTCTCGGGTGGCCTGGGAACGCCTCGGAATCCCCCCAAAAGACCTGGAGGAAGTGTGTGTGGAGAGGGAATGTCTGGGAGTCCCTGCTCAGACTGCTGTCCCTGCGACCTGGCCCCAGATTAAGCGGAAGAAAATGGATGAATGGATGTTTGAGAACTCCTTTATTAATAGTCTCAAAGCTCAAAATGCTCTGTTCCACCTTGTGATGTCATGTAGTGGTAGTTTTCAAGTTAACCACTACATTATACCTTTAGTTGAGTAGAGATTAGCAACTCCACATCTGAAATCATCCAAATGATTCTTGTGAAGTTGTATGGAGTTTAAAAACACAGTGGAGCACTTCCTGTATCACCACATGACATCACAAGGTGGAACAGTGTTTTCTGTTTGAGAGAAGAACTCAGCCTAAATATACAGGGTTTGTGCATTGAATATATATATATATATATAATGAAACAAAACACAAGTCCAGGTCTGTTTTTGATAAGGAAACAACTTTATAACATAGATCAGAAAACAGCGTGATATGTGCCCTTTAAAGATCTTTCGTACTTTATAGATCCTTTTTGTATTTATATACAGCAATAACTTAATTTATATGAATCACTGTGACATATACAACCAGTCAAAAGTTTGGACATACCATCTCACTCAGTGTTTTATTTTTTCTTTATGTTTACTAGTTTCTACAGTTTATGTACATACGGAAGACATCAAATATATGACATTTATATATTTATAATATCTCTCACTCAGTTGGGGAGTTTCCTGTGGCCAAAGTCCCCAACTGATCCATCACTTGTTATTAAAAGCTGAGTCGTATCAACCTTTTGTGATGTTTTGATTTTCTGATTTGGATTTTACAATGTAAGTTGGACGTGTGCTCCACAGCGAGCCATCGGGGGGCGCTGTCCGAGCAGGAGAGTTTTTACTTCAAGACACGCGGCACAATATGTAATTAATATAAGCGGATGAACAAACCACAACTTTATTACTGCTGTCTGGAACATAAACGCACGGACGAAGGTAAAACATGGCTGCAGCGAGAATAAATCCATGTAAATGTTTTGAGGATTAGACACAGCGCCTTATTTTATGAGCTCATAGACAATAATTAGGCTGTAAACTGCTGTTTTTTTGTGATCAGAGCCAGAAGCCGTGATATATATATTGTGTCTGAGTATATAAAGTAACTAAAGAAGGATGTTGGAATGAAAAAATACAGGTGATGCTGTAAAGAGGCCAGTTAATGTTCATATTGAAAGGGTACGCAGTCTAACATCACAGACCACAACCCGAGTTTGCCTTTGCCTATGCTTTTAAGTGTACCAAATGGTGAAGTTTGTCAACAATTATGTATAACTAGCTAGTTTTAGGGTTGTTTTTTTTTTTTTTTCACCGAGTTGTAATTCTAAATAAAGTAAGCTGCAGCACAAGGCAGCAACTTTAACTTCGACAAACTTTATAGATCCACAAAGGAAGTTATTTAGACACCATAGCAGTATAATAACAAAGGGAAAACATAAATATAAACTTGCCGCAAGAAAAATGATCTTGTGAGATTTTTTCCTCCTGAATCTACCTTTGGCTTGGACTAAAAAAGAGTTAAGAGCTGTAGGAGGGATTTTTATTTATTTATTTATTTTTTGTTTCAAATGGTCAATGAAAGTTTAAAATACCATTACAGAGACACAGCAGCCTTGTAATTATGACCAAAAAAAAAAAGAATGAAAATCTATCAACTGTGGATGTAGTGAGGCCAGATAAACATCAGCCAATAGAAAACAAGGTTACCTCATTTTCTATTGGCTGTTAGGTTGTCAATCAAACTCACTAAGTTTCTAGTGTAACTGACTCGCCGGCGGCTTAGAGGCTTTTTTAAACTATAGCTTCCTCGCAGTTCTCATAAAGTTTGTTGAGACGGCGAACGAGAATCCACGACCAGTTCATCGCAAAATAAAGTCAGTTTTTGAGGTCGCTGAAAGAAGAAGAGAAGGGGAAAAAAGGAGCAAAGCCAAACTGAGGTGATTCTTGGAGATTCCTTCCAGCGATTGCGCGAATGAAGCAGATGAAGGGTCTAAAAACTGATGCGTGTCGGTCGCTAAATTATTTCTAGACAGGTCACTTCAACAGTAATTCTGAACATGCATCGGCTATAAACAAGTGTGATTGGAGGAGGTGTTTCTAGGTGTTTCTACAGGACGGTCGCTGTATTTCTTTTCCCTTAAAAATCCTCTATACAACCTTTAATAAGCTGTCGTTCAAAAAAGCAGCATACAATGACCACTAAAGTATTACATAAAATAAGTAAAAATAGTGAAACTAAAATTGTGAAATGGATTGTGCTACATTATTATGATTTATTACAAATTAAACATTTTAAACTCTCGTCTTATATAATACATTCTAAATAAGTAGCAAAAATATCAAGAGACTGGTGTCAAATAAGCAGAGGTGGGACCAAGTCATAGTTTTGCAAGTCTCAAGTCTTTGACCTCAAGTCCGAGTCAAGTCCCAAGTCAAATACAGGCAACTCCAAGTCGAGTCTCGAGTCAGTGGCCCATACGTCCAAGCCAAGTCCAAGTCGTCTGCTTTGAGCTTCAAGTCATTTCAAGTTTTTAAACCAAAGAACCAAATTTCTGCAATTTATATGAATTTTAAGCTAAATTGTAAAATGTCATGGTATATTTATATATGAGTATTTATAAAAGAGTTGTAGAAATGCTAAATTTTCTTTTTAAATGTCTTGGCAAGATCTTAGAGCGAATCATTATGGTCAGAACAGAAAGAATTCAGATGTAAAAGAGCTTAATATCACTTATTTTGTCGTGTAGTCTGCACTGAAATGGAAGGATCATGTTCTTTATAGTTTCCTCTTTATTACTGTATTGTTCTGTATATTACTGTAGTAAATTTGAGGATACCATCTCACAATACTTCAGTTAAAACCAAAGTAACAAACAGAAGTGGGTCGGACATGTTCCAGTTTGTTCCTGTAAAATTAAGCACCGCATTTATCAACTATAAAGAGAAAAGTATTTTCTAAAAACATATATTTTTAGGAGAAACATCAAATCTTCTCAAGTCGCAGGCCTCAAGTCAGAGTCAAGTCCCAAGTCACTAACCCTTCAAGTCCAAGTCAAGTCTCAAGTCCTAACAATAGTGACTCAAGTCTGACTTTAGTCCAAGTCACAACTTGCAAGTCCCCACCTTATATAAATGTATGTGTACAAGTAAAAATAAAATAAAAAAGTGTCACCCACAGTCCAGAGCAACAAGACCCCTGCAAGACCCAGCCACCTACAAGTGCACCGGGGCAGTGACAGAGGAAGAACTTTAGTAGTTCGGTGTCTCCCCAACTGGCAGGAATGAAACTAAACAGACGTACATTTGTGCTCTCACGTAGTAAAGAGGACTTAGCAAAAACGTAGGTGCTGATAACAATGAAGATGTATGGGCTTCTACAAAAAGTAAGAAGTAATCCTGGAGGCCCTTTGCAGTAACATCAGCCACATTACAGTCACGTACCTGATTTTATAAAACACAGTGATCCAAAGTTAATTCTCATTCCTCTTATGCATTTCAGTATTAAATTATCCACTGCAATGAGTTTATAAGCACTTTTCACAACTCCCAGAGCATAGTATAGTTTGCCATAATATTGAAGCTAACAATAACTAGTATACTAATGTGCACTTCCTGATTATCGTACAATAAAATGCTTTCTAATTAGATGCACACAGCAAGCATGCAACTGATTTATTTTGACCTCCAGAGCTGCTAATACAAACTGTCTGCACTGGGGTAAATCACATTTGAGTTTTGCGGTTGTCTCAATAAATTTTCTGTCACCACAGACTCCTTCTGATCCTCCCGAACCCTCCATGGCAGCTGGTGGGCAGATTTTCGTTTCTTTTAAAGGTGCTTTGTGTAACTTTTCTGGTGGAGATGTTATTGCCTTGTCTGGAATGTTTCGCAGTATGGCATTAAAGCTTTCTATCTTTATGGAGACCAAACTAGACCAAGTTACCAGGTGTTTTTTGTTTTTTTTTAAGGTATTTTTGAGCTCTAAAACCACTCGGAATTGAATAAATATAAGGTAGAGCTGTTTAATGCCCCACTGTGAAATATTCCAGGCAGAGCAATGACATATCCATAGAAACAAGCAGGTAACGGACCCCCAACTAAGGCAAAGCAAAGCAAGGTAAGTTTATTTGTGTAGAACAATTCATACACAAAGTATTTCAAAGTGCTTTACAGAATAAGAAATACATTAAAATCACAATAAAAACAAACCAAAACATAAATAATCATAAAATTAAAAAGAGAGAGAGACATTAAATTAGAGAGAAGCGTGCAGAATGAAAAATGAAAACCTGTCAGTCACATGCACAGCGTCAAAGTAGAGGCCTGTATAACATCTTC